ACTAAACCCTAAATCCAACCATGAATGGCTAAAATATCAACTAAAACCTAACACAAGACTGAAATCAAACTCAATCTAAACTAAGTCCAATAGGAAATAAAAACAAAACTACAAACTAGTCCAAGGGAAAATCTGTTCCTATTCGTGTGACTTTTGTTTTGTTTGTATGAAGGATGCTTCGTCGAAACAACAAACCAGCTTCCTTGTCAATTGAATTTGAGATATGAAAGAATATATAGCTATTTGAAGTGGGTTCCCACCCCCCCCCCCCACCCCACCCTTGTTTCCTTTCTTTTTGAAGACTTTGGGTGGGTAGTTGAGAAGAATCAAAGTTTGAAATGACGAGTTCTTGAGATTACTCTACCAATTATGTTATTGTCTTTAGTAAACGTTTTTTTTACTATAATTATAGCCATTCGATCCTAATGAAGGGGTTAGTGGATTAGTGGAATTTGGTGGTCCTATTTTCACTTTAAAATAAACAAATTGCTGATTGATTGTTACTTAGAAAAGATAATTTTTCAGGGTAGGAAATCCCATCAAAATAAACAATCATATTCTATTATTCATCGATTGAGTCCAACATCAATAAAGAATTCCGTATAAATTGAAAATTCAAACCAAATTCTTGGGTCCAACATTTTGGTAGATCGGACGTTGTAATCATTTTGATGTCTCAAATGAGATGTTTACTACTCTTCATGTGTTTAATTTGAGCTCATATTGTTACAATATATGTGCAATAGGAGATAGTTTTTATTGGAATATTTTGGTACGATCTCGAGTTTTATACATTATCGTTGAATGAATTAAAATAGAATAGGCTTGATTTGGTATTATTGTGCTTTTAAGAGAATCATTTTTTCTTGACCACTTTGTTGGCACATTTTTTTAGCCTCTGAATTCGTGGCGTTGTGGGTTTTATTGAATTGGTGGTGTGTTTATTTTTGGTGCTTTGATTTTGTTTGTGGACTATGGTGGAAGGATTGAGAGGAGTCAATATTAAAAATGGAATAATAAGGAGTATTTGCACAAAGGGTTGTGTTTACCTCAAAAATAAATTGTATTTCTTGAAATCAACGGTGTATTTTCTCTCCCAAATTCTCAAGGGATTTTTCTCTTGCAACTTTTTTATTTATTTTGTATTGACTTTTTATTTTTGGCATATCAGAGGGAGAGGAAGGATATTTTGCCCTTGTTTGAGCCCCATTTATTGAAAAAAAAAAACATTTTTGAAGTGTTTTGACCTCATTTCAATCACACATTTTATAATAAAATAATATTACATGCAAATTCAAAAATTTTCTTTATTTTTTAACCACACATTTCTCATCAATACACTATTCAAAAATACATTTTTTTTTTGACAAAAATTGGGCTCAAACAAGCCCTTTGACCAGGACATTTTAGTCATTTTATGATTTGACATTTTTCATCATTTTGTTAAATTTATGGTTAAATTTTCATTTTCAAAACTTATTAATGTTTGTGCTTTATGACACTTATCCATAACTAATCTATTTGCAAGCGAAGGCATGTTATGCTAAGGGTTAATTTTCTAAATGGTCATTGAGCTTTTCTTAAAGTTTCCACAAGGTTACTGAACTTAAAATATGCCCCTGTTAGTCATTTAATTTTAAAAATTGGTACTACATCCATCATTGCATAAATGATGCTTGCAAAATTGAAAGGATTTGATGACATATCTAAAGGTATAGCTTACGTAGCACGCATTTGAAAACTGTAAATCAATTTTTTATAGAAATCATGCTATAATTAGTTAGCAACTATAATAATCTAGCTCATAAAGTTAGTAAAATTCAAATTTTGAAAAGCTCTACATTTAGATAAAAACTACTCATTCAATGGTCATTAAAAAAAACCCAAATATAATTGGACGATTTGTGAATAAAAAACGGTTACATATCTGTAGACTCGTGCTCAACGTCATCAAATTCTTTCAATTTTGCAAACGTTGTTTACGCAGTGATAGATGGAGTACCAATTTTCAAAGCCAATTGACTAGTGGGAACATTTTTTAAGTTTAGTTACCTCGTGGAAATTTTAAAAAAAGTTCAATGACCATTAGGGAATTAACCCTTACACTAACATCAAATCTGATTTGTCAGATTTCACAGTAAGATGTCTCGTTCATGTCCGAATCTGTCTAAGACCTCTAATCAAGTTCCTAGTCAAGCGATTGGGTTCTTCACATTCCTTTGCTTAGGGGAGTCTAGTGATAAAATCGTTTTTTTCATTTAGACAAGCCACGATGATCGAGGCATAAAATAATCATTGCACGACATGTCAACAAGCAATGAGGTCCTTTTGTGGTTGATGTGGTATTTGGGTGGATCGTGATAATTTTTGTATATAACAACTTATTTCTAGTTTCATTCATTTTTTATTTTATTTAATTAAAAGCAAGTGATAGTCTTCCTTAAAATAATTGACTATGAATTTGATGGGAAGGACCATTAGCGCACAAGACCAATAAATTGAGAGGGTCAGTGCCAAGAATTAAAGAATGTGATCATTTGCACCCATGGACCATTGGGTTAGGGACTATATGTGCAAAAATCTCATTACACAGTGATAACGGACCATTTGAATGACGTGTTGAACTACTTGAGAATTGTCTATAATAACTAGGGTTTTCCTGTTGGTACAGAACTATTTCTTCTGTATTTTTTTTATCAATACTCACAAATTTGTGAGACCTACTAAATTAAAAAAGGAAAAAAAAAAAAAAAAAAAAAACCACCCCCTCTTACATTGTGAGTATTTGTGAACCAACCCGTCCCCCTTTTTTCTGTAAGTGTAGCAATGTTCTAATAACTAATACGTATTAAGATAAATGTTATTGATATTGTCCTATATGGTTTGGATTTTGGAAAACTATGCCCCCATTTATCCCAATTATTTGTTGTTATAATTTTAGAAATACTATTTTTTGGAGAATGTATAGTTGAAAAAAGATAGAAAAGTTTTTGATTTATGTTTAAAATACTTTTATTGACAAATGTGTGGTTAAAAAGAATAGAGAAAAAAATGTATTATAAATTTAATGGGGCCAAACGGGGGTTATATGCACCAAAAAGTAAATAAGAAGTAGGAAAATTTACAGCAAAAATTTCAAAAATTTCAAAATAATGCAAATTACACCCAAACCTTTAAATTGTAGTAGACATCCCCAACTCTTTCAAAAAATGTGCGATAAAAGGACCTTTAAACGATTCCCGCCCAAAAATTAGTTAGGTGACAAGAAAAAAAGATATGTCCAAATTTTGATTAATCTAATGAATGGCAGAAATGTTTCTTGACCTATTTTCCAAAAATAAAAGAGGAGAAGAAACTAAAATAGTTATTTTGTCATCTTCTTCCCTAACCCAACTTCATCCCATTCCACCCCATCTCAGTCAAACGAAACCCATCTACCCCCACCACTACCACCTGTTAGATATTTATACAATAAATATAATATGTGAAATAAATAATTAATTAAGATGAAGTGCCCAACTAGTGAAAA